GCATATGTATTTTGCATAGTGAGGGAATAAGTCTGAAATGGATCAGGATTTTTGCTGTGTTCAAGTGAGATACTTTGAAAATTCCCGTGGCTGTGGGTTCAGTGAGATCTGAGCCGTTTCCCTTGCAGTGGATAAACACTTTTTCAAGGCATCATCTCTCTGAGGACATTCTCTCTTAAATTATTAAAATATCTGGTGGTTCTTGTAGCTTGAATTCATCACAGCTTTTGCATAATAAGCATTCTCTAACTTGAGAGTGTCACATCCATACAGGGCTCAGCATGACCATCCAGCCTGGACTCCTGCATAATGATCATCTACTGGAGAAGTTTCTCTAGCAAGTCCAGCATTCACAGCTCAGCTGCAGCATTGCCTGCAGAGAAGTATAAAATCTTGCTTTAAAGACTTCCATACAAATGATCTATCACAGTCTCCAGCAAGGAACTCCAGTAACTGCACATTAAAAACATGAGCCTTACTTTTAAAAAATGCTTCTTATGTAATGTTTTGCTGCACTGGGTACAGACCATGATCAAGGCACAAATAAATGAGCCTGTACACCACTACATGGTGCTCTGATTTTCCCTACAGAAGCTTCCTCATATGAATATCAATTTTTCACTGAATCCCCTGTATCAGCATTCCTAGAATTGGCTTAGCTTTACATTTCTCTCCCAACCCCTTGCTATAAATAGCTATGTCTCATATATCATTTAAAGAGAATAAAACATTACTCCTTGCATTCATTTATTTGATTTTACAGCCTTCATTGTATGTTAATCAAATGCATAAAGTGCTGAGGTGCATAGGTGCCAAGTAAAAGTCAATATTTTACCATGAATCTCATTTATCTGCATTAGCCTGAAACAAGGTGGATCTGTAAATTTGGACATCATTGAATTTAATGACAAAGATCAATTACAGCATCTTTGACAGGACAGGGATTTGTCAGATGAGGGTGAAAAAGCATCACTTCTTCCCAAAGGAGCTTATAAATGCTGGCTGGGTGACACTGCCCATCTCCTCCAGTGGATTGATGCATACAAACTCTTAAATAACATTGGTTGTATTTGAAATAAGACCACAGCTTAAAACAGAGCTAAGTTATAGCGAGCTCTGAGGGACTGTTCAACATAATTGGCTGGAATACCAGAAAAAAAGAACTAGAAAGTAATCAAAGTGTCTTCATGGGAGATATGCACAATTTGGCTGCAAAACTGAAAGCAATTCTTAACTCAGGCTGATACTTTCTTAGTCCTGTACACAAATACCAACCAAACTGCTTAATGATATCTGTGGTAGTGCAGATTTTTAATTTACAAAGCTCCCCAGAAGCACAATCACCAGTTTTTGGAAGGAAACTTGGGAAAACATGGATAATAACCTCCCCTGATGGAAACCACTACATTTCATTGAAGCCAATGCCTACAAATGTGTAACACTTCCTACCCATCCTTCAGCACTATGATCTTTGTCCATCACTGTGTAGGAAGCATTAGTCTGTCCTGCTTGGCTTGTCTGAAATGTAGATAAGGTTTTCTTTTTTTCCTTGGTGTTTTTCCAGACTCCCATCCAAGGGCTGCTGGGTACCATAATAGTCTTTGAACTTACTAGGAATTGAAGTAGTTCAGGGTGTCTCAGTATTGATCATGTATCTCAGTATATTTTTCCAAATTCTAGAAGCCAAGGCAAACCATCTCTAATGCATATTTTTAATTAGCAGATAGGCAGATATTAGTTACTATGGATCAAGTCTTTAAACACGGAAATCCAGTAACCCTGACAGAACTTCATTAGACTGCTTTCACAAAGAAGGGCTACAGGGTTATATTCTGTATTTTCACTGGTAAGTTCTATGTAATTCAAAAAAGCAAGCTCTTAAAAAAAGTTATTTTGGGTTGAATAAAACACACCACTCGTGCTGCATTTCTGCCTACAAAGACTGGAGTACATGTATTGTATAAAGCTGATTTATTAGCATGATAATGAGAGTAGGTAGTGCTTTTAGTCACATCTGTCCTTCATGGTAGTATTCCAGCCCACACAAACAGCAAACACAGATCCTGAATCCAAGTGCACTTCAGCTTAAACTGGCACTAATCTCACCCCTATTGTATCTATGAGATGTAACTGAACAAAAAGCACTTGGACGGCTCTGAAATGCAATGGGACATTTCTGGACATGCAGGTTAGCCCCACCAAGACAGCAGCTGTCTGCAGTCATGAGTGAGAACCAGAAAAACAGTAGTGGGAGGCATGCCAGCAAAGCTGAGGACTCAAAGCTCAGCCAAATGGCCATGCAGAGAGGTTCTCCATTCTGAACAGGAAAGCAAACAGTCAGCTGTGATGCAGAGTTCGCACACTTTCTGAGAGCAGGAGTCAACAACCCATGCCATTAACTACTGCCAAAGCTCAGTCCATTCCACACACAGCAAGCCAGAAGGTTAGTATGTGTTAAAGAAGGTTAATATGTGTTACTTGAGACATGTAGCTGCCATGGTCTGCCTGACTACATGCTGCCAAGTGAAACACAAGCAGGTTACCTTCACCTGGGACAGAATGAGTTCAGAAATGCTCAGCTATGATGTCTCAATTGGAACAGACCAAGACAAGCAAAGTCAACCACCTGCAGTCCTGTGAATATGCCCCAAGATTAGTTCACACCTCACCTTCAAGTAGCCTTCTCCCAACACTAGCAGTGAACTTAGTCATCATGGTGTAGAATTTCTACTTCTTTCAGACTTTAAGAAAAACAATGCAATTTTGCCCTCAGAATAGCAACATCAACAGCACACAAGGTAGAATGCCCCTTCTACCTAGAGAAACAGTTTTCTTCACTAGGAGTGAGCCATGCCTTGTCCATTCTTGATGCATCAGAAGATCTCAGGCACCTAAGATATTCTGGCTCTTGTGAACACTCTTATAATGTGAACATCATGGATTGGCCATCATCAAAAGCTGAGAAACAGAATTTAATGAGCTGTAGATGACAGGACAGTGCAAGCAAGAACTAAGGGTGAGGAGCCTCCATATATGCTGTAGATCAACACCACCACCTGAAGCTGGACTGTCACTTCATCCCATATTTCTTTTACCCACTGTTTCATTCACAACATCCCCAGTTCGCAGATATAATACCAAATCTGTTTAAACTAATCCAGATTATTACACCAAAAACAGTTTGGAGAACACTTAGCAAGTAACCTGAAGAAGGAAAATACTTTAACAGGAGTGATGAACATGTACAGTTAAGCAGAAGACACAAATCCATGGAGATAGCACAGCTGGACCTAGAAAGCTAAGCTTGGACAAAACCTTTTGTTAACATTCATCAATAAAGCCAAGAGAATAAGTGTCTTACTTATATTATAAATCAATTGAAACTTTTTCCTTAAGTAGCTGTATGCTTGATTCTTTTTATTCATGCACACAAGAAGGAGGTAGATGAACTTTAGACAAAACAGAATTAAACTGATAACTTTAGGGAAGTCAGACTTGTCCATTTGAAATGGTTAAAACATGCTTGGAGAAATACTCAAACAGGGTAGGTCTCTAATGATGTGTTACATAACCAAATAGACATGCCTTCAAAAAAATCCTTACATTGTGATCTATAAAAAATTATTGTACTGTGAAGTGGATATTAAATTCCAAATGTAGAGGGCATTAAAAAAAAAAAAGTTGACTTGATCATACCCCAAGCCTTGGGGAGGGCCTGTGTGTGTGGCATGTGGGAGACTGATGGTCCTTGGGATTATTTGGTTTACCTGTTCCATTACTAGTTCTGATCCTGAAAGTATAGTTCACTGCCTGCCAGTTAATGACATAGCATTAATATATTTATGAACTGTTTCATCCTCATTAGGGTTTAAACTGAACAGATCAGTTTTTCAGCAGAGATACAGCCAGAGCTAATCTCAACTTCTGACATGAAGAATGGTTTTTTTAAAACGCCAAACCCTGGTATTTTATCACCATCTGCTGGTGACAAAGTGTCATTCACTTAAAAATGTAAATTCAGTCTCAGCATGTACAAAATAATTCTCTTCATGAAGATTCAGATACCTTAAATGCAGCAAAGACTAGTAAGAGACCCACGGAACTCAAGACCCAGAAGGTCATCTGAGGAACAGATTACATGATCTTCCATACTCTACAAATATTTTATCATAGCTAAAGCTCTCACAGAACCATAGCCAGCTGCTGTAAGGTAACACTAACAGAGGCCTCAAGGTCATTGGTAAGTGAAATAAAATTCACAGTAGAGACACAAATTTCCTCTCCGCCACTGGCAAAGAATAGGTCATGCAAGGCCAACATGCCAGGCACTTTTTTGCGACCAAACCAGTCATGACCTCTTTCAGTTGCTCGGGGGGGTTAAAACTATGTCCCAAATCTCAAAAAATCAGCAATACTGAAGAGTAAACTACATTCTTCCTTCTTCTTGACCTCTGCTGCAACCCATTGCCCTTATGCCTTCCCCCATCTTCTCTGTTCCTCCTTTGCTCCCCTGTACCTCCTACCATACCTAAACTGGAGCTGAGCTGGAGAAGAGACTGGATTCCTCCCACTTAAATTCCCATGTAACTGAGGCTGAACTGCCAAGCTGTCTTCTCTAATTACTGGCAACTAAGATGCTCTTCCGGAGGGCAGTTTCTACCTTAGAGGAGCCACTGTCTAGAAACAACAGAATGAAACTGATTTTAATTTAGGTACTTCCCTCAGGTTGTTAGGTTGGGTAAGAAGTGCTCAATACTCTCTTCTTGCCTTGATTCTCAACCTAGAGGCAGCTACAGACAAAATTCTGCAGCCCCAGCGAGACTCATTTAGCAGGGATGGAACCTGTGGTGCTACATAAGTTTCTCCTGAGCATGTAAAACTGGAATTCACCAAATAGTTCATATCTAGATACAGGTGAGCTTATTTTCACAGCACCTTATTGCTGTCATCTTACTGCAGGGGCTCCATACTGTTATCTCCTTATCACAAAAGTTTCCTACTTTCTTGGTGTTTCTTGCGGGCAGCTACTCAGGGCACTGACTCTTTCTTCTTCACAAAGCAGCCACTGACCCCAGTTCCCCTCTCAAGCAGCCACCCCACTCTTATAGCACTCTTCTTCTCATTGCTTACAGCTGTGGCCTGGTAAAGTCAGACCTGTTCCTAATCTTTGATAATTGGCCCAGCTGCAACTCCTTAGGGGTAAGATTTCTACACTACCTTTATTTTCTTATATGCTATCCCCCTACACCTTTTCTGACTCAAGACTACCTGCCAGCAAATTGCAAGTCTCTCCTCTTACAACATAAGGGAATTAGGGCATCTGAAAGAACATGTCATCCAAATTTCAATTTTTTACTTTGAGTAAAACAAGGCATTTTTGACCCATGTCTTGGAAACAACATTTTGGCTGAAACTTTTACACATATAAAAATATTAATTAATGGAAGCACTTACTGAAAAAAACTTTAGTCCTAATGGTTAAAGTTTGGAAAAGTTGAGAAGAAGGTAAGCAAAGGTCATAAAAGTGGAAAATTATAATGCAAATTAAAATCTTTTAATATGAAACAGTGCCACCAATTGCACCTGTGTTCACCATCTCCAGATTTTGATTGCTTTATGCAGTTATTTGGACACACTCAAAAGCATAACTAGGCTGCAGTTACGTTGTGCACTTTGGCTCTTTTTTCCAGTCTCCAAGTAAATATTCAGCCTCTGTAGATTTATCTGGTAACTTTTACCCAATCACTATTTCTGTAAACAAAATGCTCACTGACTTCAAAAGGGAGAAGATTAACACTTATGGGTCAACAGCACTAAGGAAAGCACATACACAACAAATATAGGCCACTGCCCAGCACAAAGACAATTAAAATCTCTTTCTGAAGGGACCTTAGAGTCACTGACCCTGAACCACTTGACATGCCATTCCTGCATGCTCCATTTAGCCTTGTTCCTCCTCTGTCCCATGAGGCAGCTCCTTCTTCCCCATTGCATAACCCTGTCCTTCTTATCACACATTCCCACTATCCCAAATGCCCTCAGCCCTACTCCTGGTACCCAACAGCAGCCTCAGCTGTGCTCTCAAGCCCATTAAGGATTTCATCTGGGAGAAATAGACCAAGAAGTGACAAGGACAATCAAAAAACACGTAACAACTTCTGAACAATAAATGACTACATAAGCTACAACTCCTCAGGCTGGAAAACATGCAAATGACAAAAATTCATTAAATCCTTAATGACCTGGACACTAGACAAACAACAGAAAAATACACTGGCAAACAAAGAGAAGGTGTGCAGAGAAAGAAGAAAAACAAACCCCCCACAACCTACCACAGGAATATTTTACAAGCTACTGCTGCTTTTGCAACTGTGACTAATGTGAAAAGATGTGGTCACCTTATTGCAAAGTTTCATACCTTCTCAGTGATTTCTCATGGGCAACTCCTTGCAGCACAGCCAACAAGCTCTAACTCTCTCCTCACCCAGCTACCCCACTCTTTTGTAGCACTCTTCTTCTTATTGGACACAGCTGTGGCCTATTAAGGGCAGTCCTGTTCCTACTCTTTGGTGATTAGTACAGCTGCAACTCCTCAGGTGTGAGATTGCCTTCTGCACTATCTTTATTTTCTTACATTCTATCCCTCCACAAAAAGAAGTACAAGAAAATTACCCTTTATTCAGGAAAAAAAAATTACTTTCCACAGTTCTTGCTGATCCTGCATCCACACCTTGCTGCCCTCATGTTCACACATGTGTAGATGCTTCTGGTCTGTGTGTTCAGCTGGGGTCCCAGCACATATTCTAGCACACCACCCACCACTATACTGGTGAAATTTTGTGTCTATCTGGACTCAACTTGCCTGAGGTTTCTTCCGCTTTCTCCTGTCTTTGCCTCATCCAGGAACAGAAACTTCTTCTCAGAAGTTCTTTATAAATAACAGTTTTATATGTCTAGTGCCACTATCTGTCACTATTGAATAGGAAATACCTTTCCTTCCTGCACAGAGGGAACATGCCTACTCTGTATGACCTTCTTTTACCTAAATGGTGTTAAGGCATGGATCTTAGTAGGGGTGCAAGTGAACATCTGTGTCACAAGTAAGTTCTAGAGCAATTTCATAAACAGGCTGAGATTAGCTTTTGGCAGGGGGAGCAGCAGTGGCTCTGCTGCTGTCATTGCATAGAAAGCTCCACAAGTTTAGATAAATAGTAAATAATTAGGTTTAAACTGCGGGAAAAAAAAATCATGCCTAAGCAAGAGTGCATGAGAGCCCTGCTGAGATCAGGCTGCCCCGGGCCTTTCGACACGGTGTAATCTCAGAGGTTTGCAGCAAGCTGGCAATCAGAGATGAGCTCTTGCCTAATTAGCAAATTTCTTGTTGTGTCTCAGTGGCGGCACCGCAGAGCTTGGCCACCCTCCACTAATTTGCAATATCTCAAGCTTTAAAACACTTTCTTTCTTTCCAGTTCATTGGGGCCAGCTGGAAAAGCACCTGCCAAGCAGAGAACTCACTTGCAAAGGTTCAAATCCAAAATGAGGCCTGGGACTGAGCAGTTCTGCTCTATTGCCTCAGTACTTCTTACACCAGGGCTTCTTACTGCATGCAAGAGGTGAAACAGGCAGAAACACATATTGCACCATGCCTGTACAAATAACCATGGGCTAGCATCAGCATTTTTGATAGGTCTTGCTCCCATAATTCCCTCACATTTTCACACTGCAAGGGACAGGTTGGTTACTCCATCTGGTAGCAGGCACTGGGGTCTTCATTTTGTTTAAGTTTTTAGCATTTGGAGAGGCAGCACAATCCTTTGCTAAAACTTTACTAGCACAAAGTGGGCAACAAAAGCAACAGCCTGGGAGCTTCCCCAGTGACAGACCTCTGCCATAAGCCACAGCTGCAGTGCCCAGGGTCTGGGAGGGCAGAGGACAGGAGAAGCTGTCCACCCAACGTGATCCTGGCTGCAGGAAAGATCCTGACATTGCCTAGAGGGATGGGTGAATCTCAGGTCTCACAGTCCATAGCAGCACAGGGGCATGGTAAAACGGGACAGGGTTCATAAAGATTTGTGACAGAAATATAAACACGAGTATGATTAAGATTGAAGCTTGAATCCAAGTACCCGTGTAAACAACAAATGACACATGAGAACAAGATTTAAAGGAATAGCTTCTACAGAAAGTGCAGAACACTGTTCTCAGTACTCAAAGCAAGGAACGATTTGTTTCCATTTGTTTCCTGTGCTCTGACACCCAGGAGACCACAAGCAATGAAACACAGGAGCTCCCCTCAGCCCAAAGAACACGGGTGACGCTTACACTGCACTAACTTGCAAGGGAACCGCCCTGAGAACAGAGATTGAAAACCAATCTTTGTGTCTTGAGCTGAGAGGAACTTTTGTTATAATTTATGGAGATTTACCAGATGAACTGCTTCTGCTCATCCCCCTGTTCATTTTCTTCCTCTGTTGCCTAATTTCATGCCATGCCTAGACGCCATTATCATGGATCTATGACAGCTCAGCCTAGCTAAAACACAAGGCCAAAAGACTCTGCGGTACTTTTGCTGAGAGCACTCCTGCCCTCAGCCCCTGAGGCAGGTGCACGGCTGGCCTGGGGCAGCGCCACCCATCACGCGCATCAGCGCCGTGACGCGAAGAACTACATCTCCCGGCATGCTTCACCCCGACTCACCCACACCGCCTGTGCGCGGCCGCGCGTTGCACTGTGGGAGTTGTAGTCCGTGCTGGCGGCGCCGCGGAAGTGACTCGGCGGTGCCGGGGTCAGCGGGGCGTGTTGACTTTCCGGGGACGGCGCTCATGGAGGCTCGGGAGTAGCGAGGCGTCTGAGGGGGTTCGCCGGCCGCCGCCATGTTCGGCTGCCTGGTGGCGGGCAGGCTGGTGAGCGCTGCCCGGGCCCGGGCGGGGCCCTCAACCCGCTCGGGGGCGGGGTGGAGCTGCCGCAGGGCCCTGGGCCCCCGGCCCCAGGCAGGGGCCCCGCCTGCCCGGCGCTCGGCTGGCTGCTGCCCCGCGTCCCCACAGGCTGCTGCCTTGTCGAGCGTCCGTGCCGGGAGGCGCTTGCCATCCCCCTGGCAGTGTTGTCTCCTCAGAGACAAGCTGGGAGCTTAAAAGAAGCTTTTTAAGGCTAGATTGTGCCTTGGCTGCAAGGATGTGGCATCTCGGGTAAAGAGGAGGGTATCTTTTGCTCTGGCATTCATTCAGCCATCCTTCTGCTGCCTTTCTCAAGGTCTATTGTATTTCCTATGTGAACAGGTTTCCATGATCCTGGGGTTGTGCCAGCCAGGTGGTCAACAGCCACTTCTTAGTGACTTGGCAACCTCTTCTGCACCCTACTTTCCTCCTACGCACATGGGGAGCGAAGGTATTCTGATCCTGTAGTCCCGGGTGGGATATGTGTTCAGTGCAGGTAGAACAAGACTGTTGTGTCTTTCTGGTAATATTTTTTGCAGTTGTTCTTCTGCTGTGTTTGACTTTTATCTGGCTATTTGCTCTTTAGGCTAGTACGTTCCTCACTTTTTGTTATGTACCACTTTAGGTGTATTTCTGTAAAAGGAAATTCGCAGACAGATGAAGATGAGAAAAATGTTAATACTAATAAAGGTTTTGTTCTCTTTAGGTGCAAGCTGCGCCCCAACAAGTGGCTGAAGACAAATTTGTATTTGATTTACCAGACTATGAAAACATCAACCATGTAGTGGTCTTCATGCTGGGAACTATACCTTTTCCAGATGGAATGGGAGGATCTGTCTATTTTTGTTACCCAGACCAGAGTGGGATGGCAGTGTGGCAGCTGCTGGGGTTTGTCACTAATGAGAAGCCAAGTGCCATCTTCAAAATTTCTGGTCTCAAATCCGGTAAGACTGGTAGAACATAGCAGTCAGTGCAACAGATGCGTTCCTGAATGCATAAGGGATAAGCACGTGAAGGTTGCTTTGAATAAAAAGCTCCTTAAAAAGGCAGCACACTCTGTGTTTTCAGATAGTGTTGAGCAGATGTACTAAAAGCAGCCTGTCATCTTCATGGAAGTCTGTCTGTGCCTTGTGAAGTTGCTGTCTCA